TTACACATCATCCTCATCGAGTGTTGAATGCGTGATGCTTTTGGGTAGCTTTATCAGACAATGGAAAGTCTCGAAATCACGGGTTTTGCTTCTTGGAAGGCGATGGGCATTTTGTTCGGAATCATGAAGCTAACTTCATCAATTTCCCCCGCCTTGAAAGAGACTATCTTTCTGAAGCAGACATTTGTTTTAAAGCGGATGGTCCCTCTAAGCGGAGCAAATTGGTAAAGTGAATAAATGTCAGTTGGCCCAAGGCTAAATAGCAAACATACAGGGTGATTTCGCAGCATTCGGAGATTTGAAGTGTCACTGCTGGGGATTTGCATACACCTAACATCTTAGCAGAGCAACCGAATCGGGGTTCCTCGCACATTCAAATCCGTCACAGTTGGCCAATATTTTTAAGTAAGGAATATGGTATTCTTGTGATCAGTCCCATCCCAGAGCCGTCGTATGATTCCAGAAAGCTCTCATCAGGATACTGAGTCGTTAAAGCTTGAATTCGTTGGATGCTGTAGTGTTTCATTCAGGTAGATGTACCACAGTATTTTGAACCAGACCTCTGTAACTAATCTATCGAGGAACACTACCAGAACAATTTAGGCATTTGTTCCCCCCCCCCAGCGGGAAGTCAGATAGCCACCGGCTTGCGAAACTAAACTACCGACCGTGCGTAACCATCGCAACTACTGTAACGAAGATTGCTGCTCACTCAAGTCGGGACCAGGACACTCAAGGCATGCGCTTCGTTGCTAGGCCCCCCAGCGGAAGTCAGATAGCCACCGGCTTGCGAAACTAAACTACCGACCGTGCGTAACCATCGCAACTACTGTAACGAAGATTGCTGCTCACTCAAGTCGGGACCAGGACACTCAAGGCATGCGCTTCGTTGCTAGGCCCATGGCCTGCGACTTTTGGCTTGGCAACTGAACTTCGGACTCTGATCGATAAACATCAAACCTCGGCACGACATCAAGTGGCAAGCGCGTCAGCGCGCGAACCCAGAGTGGGGTTGTGGGCCGGTCGCTTTGGCCTGCATTTGAGCCTGAAACGCACCAGTCCGTACAACCTTGGACTTGTATGGGGTGACGATTCACACCTTGTGCGGCACTGGAGATAAAATGACACGAAGACAGAATGGGTCAGCACTAGGGTCCTGTCTGCTAACTTTGCCGTCTCACGGACGTTTGGTCTACATTGAAAAACTGAAAATTTCCACCTCACGTAGAACACGTTGTGCATCACATCAAAAAAATACAAACCACCATTGCTTTCTCCTTCTCTAGCAAGCCAAACTGAGGTACGAACCACACTAATGCATTGGACGTTCAAACGGTCACAAAGCAACACGACATAGCTAATAACATAAAGCCATGTGAACCAGACAACATACCAACTTCCACACTTTTGCGCCCATCGGTATGAGACATAACTTAGTACTTATGTCTGTTCTTTCAGAGATGGTTGAAAAAACTCAGTGACCTGAAGACGGCTCTGTTAGAGAATAACTGCCTTCTTAGGTTTGCGGAGAATCGCATAGCAGAACATCAACGTAAAGCAACTTTACCAACTGCCAATAATAAACTACCTTCGATACAACTAGCCTTTGCCGGCGAGTTGCCGCCAGATATTCCACCGGAAGTCTGCCACCTTCCATGACCTGCGTTGCAGTGAGACTCATAGCAGTATCTACTAACCGACTTGTCAATGATCAAAGATTAAAGGCTAACCGGCCTACGCTGGCAGATTCAATAATTTTGCGTTCCTTCTACTACTTCTGTGGACTGGATTAACCGGGTCGGACACAGAGGGAATTATCGAGCGCATCCGAGAGCATTACTCGGCCCCTTTACGAAATCAAGTTCCATAGTGGTCCACTTGATGGACACCAGTCATCCCAAAGTCGCTTTCATAGCTACTTATCAAAAGGCGCCATAAAAATCCGTAGGATACGGATAATGGCTGTTTGCGACAACCAAGGCCACAAGTATACGCTTGTTGAAACCCGCATTGTGGATTCAGGATAAATATGTGCAGGTTTTATCGTTACCTTGGCTGCCAATGTCATTCACACATCACGATAATAACGCAATAGATGACAAACTAGCAGGGCTAAAGAACCACTCAGGTTTGATTGTGAAAGGTTGACAACCCTACCTTCTCTGATCTCATGTGAATAATTCTAGTGTTCCCTTTTTATATGTGGTTGGTTGTATTCCGAAAGTTATGTTGCCGCCTGGCTAGCTGCCTTTTGTTGTCGTATGTTGACCGGACCGTATCGTGAAATCGCGAAGTGTCCTCATGACTGCGGAACTCACTGACCCGTCCGCCTATCAACAATATGGCAATAGCAACAGACTGGTCTCATCCCATCTGCGTGTGAGACAAAATCAGCAGACGGCGAATCCAGGTTCTCATCAGACGGCAACCTCGTGTGTTCCCACACTAGTCATGACAACGTCGACGCAGTATTCTATTTGGCAACCATTAAACCCAATGTGGCTGTTGGATTTAAACCAGAAGCCTCTGTCTCCACCAGTGCTACCTAGCCTGAAGTAATCGTCGCTTCTGAGGTAAACAAAAACGCTTGAAATATACTTGCGCATCTCTATGAAATCTTGAACGGATAGAGCCAGTTGAACGGCTTGGAGGCGCCTATGGATCCGCTTTGTAATCTTTCCCTTTCCCCTAGTATCAAGCTTGAGATGTGAATAGAAAGTGGATATGCTACTAGTGTAACGGTGGATACTACTGCTGAGGATACTACTGATGATGATGTTTTCTCGTAACTCCGCTTTGCGTCTATTAGAAAGTGGGATTTATTGAGGAACTTGCGGAACTGCTTTGTAGCATTCGTTTACGTTTGAGTGATAGGCAGTGAATATCCGGGAAAGTTCAAGAAGACGCGTTGAAGAGGAAGACGGATATTCAGTTTTATAAACACGATGCCTATGAAAGTTTGGCTTTCCTGTTCAATAGTCAATAATTGTTCACTTGGTGTTTTCTAATAAGTAAGGCCTCATTCCTCTGACTAGTAGTGCTTAAAAGTGAAACAGCACACTAATTATGTGCCGGCCGATATTCGGGAAATAAGGTCCTCGGGACTCCTCAAAAGTCTCTTGTCGGTTTACATCACAATTGCGATAAAGTTCCCAGGTGTATAACACTGGTAAATGAAGTTTATCTGTCGCTTACTCTACCTCTCATCATGCTTCCACACGGAAATTAATCTGAGGAACTATGTAATGATGGGTAAATAATCAGGAACTTATGTAGCTATTCGAAAATTCTTATGTTCAGCTGTACCAATGTAGTACGGGTGAACCATCTTTAAATTGCCCGGTTGAAAACTACGTGGACTTTATTGGTTTTAAGTCCTTCGCATGGTATTTGTGCCCGCTACAGACACTCAAGAACTAACTAGCACTGCACTAGTTAATGTTTCACTTTCCTTCAAGGCCGTATTTCCACAAACAACAAAAGCTCTAGGACCAGCAAATCTGAAAGCAGCATCAAAATCGAATAATTGAATAGGTACCCAGAGTAGTAAAGGGCTCCAATTGACTGTTTTTGACAACATTCTCAAACAGGTGAATGAAAAACCTATTCAAGACCAGTCGACCCAGCGCAAATTAACTATTTCTTGTTTAAGCCTGGAAGGTCGACCAAAACACCATTAGCATGCTTCTTGACGGAACATTACTCATAAGGTTGCTGAAAGCTGTTCGACAGCCCGTTTAGTCTTGCATGGGCCTCATCAGTTAGGCACCATTTCAGAGTTTGCAGCAGCCTCATGTTCTGCATGAACTCAGATTTAATGCCATTTGCACAATAAAGTGATCTTCATGGGAGGCTCGTTTGTATCCAAGTCGGAGCTCTTGTTTATGATATTCCTCAACTTAATGTGTTGAATAAAGGCCACCGGCGGATGCACAAGGCAGTCTTTGAACAGTATATTTATTGAAGATCATAAACGAAAGGTTCAGTTGGAATTCAGTTGAGTCTCCATTCATAACCAGTTTCACAGATCATTAAATTACCATTTGGTAATAGAAGGGTAGCGAAAAACAGCTTTCGGTTCTCAGTGTGAAAAGTGTTGGGAAAGCGAATTACCCGAACCCAAGTGTATCGTTTACCAACTGAGCATTGGTCTTCCAGTTTTGAAGGTTCCCGCGTCCGTCTAGATGAAAATTTCATCTCACTTTAAAGCATTGAACGCATGTCTAGCAATATCAGCGAGGCACTGGGATAAGTGATTGGTCCTGAAAACAGTCCTGCTGACCGTTCGGATAAAAGAGCCCAAAACTGGTCGATCGTGCCAAAAATACAAATTGCTGTGAGACCCGAAGCGCATCCGTTTATTCGGGTGTTACAGGTATTCCAACAAGCTACGCGAAAGTGAAAGCGCCTTTAGGTCAGTCACATTCGTTGCACCTGATTCCACACGGCCATCATTGATGAAGCATCACAACAGTCCATGTTGGCTTCAAATTCTCGTGGCACTCAACCCGTACGCTCATTTCTGTGGTCATTTAGAGATAGGCAGGCTGAACGAATGGATCGGTAGACCCTGTAAATGGCACTCTTTTTGGTGGCAAGCTGTGATCAGACCTTGACAGGATCAGCCTATTGTCTTTACTTTGGATTACTGATAATCACACATTGTCTATCGGGGACAAAATTGCTATGGCAGAACGGTAGATTTAATTCACCCAACACAATATCCCTTTGGCCGATTGCTGGTAAATATTGAATAAATGCTTATCGACAGCCACAAAACTTTGGCACCCAGCTTACTACAGATAAAAACATCATCACTCTGGAACAGTGTTTGTAAAACAAGGCAAACTATGCTGTCGTAAATCGGCAAGCCTCTGGGAAGAGATACTGCTTTTATGTGCTTGTTGAAACCTATCAGTCGGCAATAGATACTCGCCTTGAAAGTGTTATGTGGGAGTCATGTTAAGCGAGTACCTCTCAACATTCATTTTTCACCACAGAAAAACTGCGTGACTCTAAGGAGCGAATTGCCAGCATGAACCGAACGCTAACTGATCTGGAAAGTTCGCGCGCTCGGCTGGAAGCAGAGCGTGAACATTTGGACAGTACACTTAAGGATACAGAAGATGCACTTCATGAAGTTGAGGTGGGTTTTTCTATCAGGTTAACCCTGTTCGGGGTGCGCGTTATTTTTTTACCTTTCATAAGTGCAATAGTTTGTACATGAAATAACCCAGAGTTAGGTTAAGTTTGTCATCCTAGACAGTGGCGCTAATGTAGTTATCATTGTTTGGTTGTAGTAAAAGTATAAAAATCGCGGTCCCGAAGTAAGAGCTACACAATACAGGAAGTGGAGCCGATTGTTAGCCTGTCGAACGAATGTCAACGCAGCCACAAATACCAACATTCAGTTTGATAAGTTTGATATGAAGGACGACATTCACGTCTTGCCACCTCTGTAAAAAAGCGCAGGTTTGTGTATGTTTGACCCCGTTGTGGAAAATTGGTCGAGGTAAGAACACAGACATTCTACTTCCTCTCGGATATTTTGTACTTATTGTGATGGGACACATACAAAAAAACATAAGTGGAACTCACCGCAGAACCGAGAAAATCATTTGTTTTTAGTCACTTTCGATCTAAGCGGCATCCAGTAATGGAGAAACTGATACGCAGCAGGGAGAATAAGCTAAGCTGTTTAGCATGACGGCTGTCATGTTAGTTAGAGCTACATGTTCACATTTGCATACATCCATCAGACATGTTTCCACATACCCAATGTCAACCACTGTCGAGAGGTTGGACTCCCGACATAACCCTATCAGGTTTAGCCTGTACGTCGAAACACTGTGTTGCAAGTATTGCAAGAGATGAGCGTTGACTTAGTCCTAGAGACTAAGCGGCCCGGATACAGATCTATCTCTTCCATGGCATGCAAAATTCTCTATTTGCTTCACTTTGCCAAGTCAGCATATAAAGAAGCCCATCTAGGGTCATCCAAGAGTATCGGACAGAAAATTTCTTATCAGCAGTTCTAAGAACACGAATAAATCACTGAATGCAAGTGCAATCACTACGTTTGGTCTTCTTCGAAAGTACCTGCTGGTCTACAGAAAATGCGCCCGGACATTTTCGCTTATTCGCGGTTCATCGAGCAGCTGCCTAAAGGTCTAACTCATCTCTAAGATTGCTACTGATAAAGGGTGAACGCAAACAAATGGACTTTCTTGTTTATTTTTTTTCTTTTTTTTTCATTTTTCCTACAAATGAGTGACCGTCGTTTATCTATTGCATTCTACAGACCAAATACCAGACAGTACATGCGGCCCTGGCAAACCTGCGTTCCGAATTCGAAAGGCAGTCTCGTGATAAAGAAGAAGAACTGGAAACACTCAGGTAAAGCAATTTCCGCCTCTGAAAGGACTAATGTCCCTTTCGCATAACTGAACATCTTACTAACTGCAGTCAAGCCTCAGTCACCCTTCGCTGGATACACCACCAAAAAGACATGCGGAAGCTGTTCCTCTCAGTGTCACTGGTTTCTTTCTTGAGGTGGCTAAAGCCAGCAGAAGATCTATTGGTAATGTCAATTCTGAACTACTGCTCTTTAACGGAAGTATAGATCGTCGGATACAACTAGGCACAACAATGGACAGTTCCAATTTCTGGTCCAGTCGAGTAACACCTAGCCTCCAACAAACAGACCACATTGCCCTTAGTTCTCGATGACGATGATGTTTACAGGACTGCTGGCCTTATCGAATAACTACGTCAACTATTATCTTGCCTTGGTCTGCACAAAACTTCTGTTCGCCTCAAAACACTGCAAGTTGGTCTGGCTCAACCATCACAACCACTACCGCCCAACCAGATCTGCCTTTCACGGCCAAATCGCCACATTGCACCGCAAATAGCCAATCACACGTCTGAGATACCCCCAATAAACTGAAAAACACAGGCATATGGTTTTATCAGTGGACACCGCGATACTTCCCGCATACCTGGTTGGAAATACGATCCGTTTATTTCTCAACGGTTTTTTCTGCTGGTTGTGAACGCAAACCGACTCTTAAACTACCCAAGCCACAGTTGCGAGCCCCTCTGAAGAGGGAATCTGAAGCTCGGTGGTCGGACGGGACAGTGAGGTGGAAGCAGCTGTGAACTAAAAAAAGTTATTTCAAACAATCGGGGCAACCGTAGTGAAATGATGAAACCATAGCTGGCTTATGAAGGGGCATTGGAATCTTGGGAGAATAACAAAGGATATGGACTCATGTGGCCTTCACCGAGATCCAGCCAAATGGACTGTCAATCCAAGTCCACCAAGCTCTTCTTACGTCTCTAGACAAATTGTCAGTATCAATCAACAGGTACCCAGGTTCAGACAAAATTCCTGCAGCACTGTTTGAAGATAAATGTTGTATTAGATCGGCTTACTACTTGACCTGGTAAGCGGCCACTGACCAGGTTATCTTAAGGTTATCTGTAAGAAGTACTGACACATCACCTGTTGTAAATACGGTATTATCGGCATCTTCGATGTAGCCCAGTTCACGGATCTGACTGAGGCTGCACTGATCGTATCTTCACCCGGTCGCATTTGTGGGAGGCGTGTCACATATACGGAAGACCGACTGTCATCGTCAATATACTTTTGAAGCCATGAGCAGAGGCGCCTTACGGGAACATATCGTGGGAAACGGAATTCCGTTAGCATTTGTTGATATCCTGAGAGTGCAGTATTTGTAAAAATTTGGGCGAGTTAGACCGTAAGCCAAACTATTCTCGTGTCTGGTCATTTCAAGCTGGGTCAAACAAGATTACTCACTATCTCCGTTTCTATCCAGGTTTGGTAATGAATACGTCCATACGAAACCGTTTGGTACTTCCAATCATGGCTGCTGTCAGGGGATTCATTTCGAAAACTAGATTACGCTTAGTGATTTTATGAACGGGGCACAGGGCACCACTGACAGCGCAACGATTTCAACCCGCGTTTTTATTGCGTTTCTTTCCGAGACTGTGTGATAATGCGGTCACGCTCTCTCTCCCCCTGTCTCGATGGAGCTTCAGTTGATGCGGTTAAGAATCATGTACATTTAATAGCAGCTTCAGTACTGTTGGTCTTAAGGGTAAAATAACCAATTGCGTTACGAAAGCCCGACTTAAGTTTGTAAACCCCTGTGGTGTTACCAAGGTACGTTTGCAGCTGAAGGGACAATTATATGCACGCTTCGATACGTACTGAGCTTTCCATATGGATGTGAAACATGAGCCTCAGGGGAATAAGTTTGTAATAGGCTGATCGTGTTTGATCAGAATTGCTTACGAATTATCACTCATCAGTGGCGGCATTAACACGTGAGTGATAAGAAATTTCGTCAACCGTTCCAGCAGATTGTAAGATTACTGATTTATGAGCTAATACCTCGTCAGTTGAAACGGTTAGAACGTGCTTATCCAGTCGAGGGTTTCCTCACTGAGCTTTGTTTTCCAGGGCTGGATTGGGTTGGAAACTATTAACGAATGGGGTGTTGTAGACGCATAAAAGCAGTGACTGTAGAATTAGTCTCTCTTGGCTCCTCATGACTTCCTGGATGGAAAGCTGGACAAGGAAACTTCATTAGCCTGAAGACCCCTTCAATAAAGGTACGGACTTGGAACTAGTGACGCATTTTTGTGATTTTTTAATAGACCAGTGAATTTGTCAGGATGGCTTTTCCCCCATATCTCTTATGTAACACAACCTTTCTTCCATATATATATATATATATATATATATATATAT